GGCCGACGGCGGGGAGGTGCCGGGGTACCGCTGCGATGAGTGCCAGAAGGACATCAAGCACCTGTCCAACTTCCAGGAGCACCAGCGCATCCACACGGGCGAGCGGCCCTTCCAGTGCCAGGTCTGCCGCAAGCGCTTCACCCGCTGCGCCGACCTCATCAAGCACCGCCTGGTGCACTCGAACCGGCGGCCCCACCGCTGCCGGGCCTGCGGCAAGCGCTTCAAGCTGCCCGGCGACCTGGCCAAGCACAGCAAGGTGCACTCGGCCGAGGCGCCCTTCGCCTGCGAGACGTGCGGCAAGCGCTTCAAGCGCACCTCGTGCCTCATCAAGCACCTGCGCATCCACACGGAGGAGAAGCCCTTCCCCTGCCCGCACTGCGGCAAGCGCTTCAAGTGGGAGGCCTCGGTGAAGGAGCACCAGCGCATCCACTCGGGGGAGAAGCCGTTCGGCTGCGACGCCTGCCCCAAGCGCTTCACCCACTTCTCCACCTTCCTGCAGCACAAGAGGATGCACCAGAACCGGCGCCAGTTCCGCTGCCAGGACTGCGCCCAGGCCTTCAACCACAAGTCCAATCTGCTGAAGCACCAGCGCAAGGTCCACGGCTAGCAGGGGTCCCCGCAGCTCCCTGGACGACTCGAGGGCAGTGGGGGTTTTGGGGGGGGGGTCAGGTCCTGCGTGCCTCTTCTCCACGTGGCTGGGTGACAGTGGCTCTGCTGGGTGCGGGTGCTGTAGTGCCATGGCTTCCACTCGGTGGTACCCCACGCTGTGGGATCTGGTTCTCCTCGAAGCCTGACTCGTACGTGGCTGCACACAGGCTGATCCGATTGCTGGACTCTCCTGGTGGTGGCTGGATGAAAGGCTGAGAAGATGCTGCGACCCACCCCAGCTACAAGGAAGGACAGAGCTTTGAGTACTCGAGGGGCGGGGAGGGGTGTGAAGAGCTGTCTCTTGCCGAGATCTTAGTCCCATCGAGCGGGGGGCTGCAGACCAGCCTGTGGCGGTGGCACAGGAGCTGGTTACCGCTCCAGACTACGACCTGTCGTTCTACTGTGCCTCGCTGCTCGGGCAGCAACGCCGCCTGCCAGCTGAGCAGGAGACGTGGGCGCGTCGTATCCGAGCTGGCT